AAAAAAATCCTGCTGGCATGTCTGTTTCTGGTACCGATGGAGATCGCTGCGTATAGCACCATCCTCTTCTGCAGGGCTACAGCAGCGCTACGCTCCTTTGCCTTCATTTTACTAGGCTGAGTCCAGGGCTCTCCTAAGAGGCCAGTCTCTGCCTGAGCACCTGGGCAGCTGTGGCGCTCCCGTCTGCCCAGCACAGCCGTGGTGTGGGCAGCTGGGATGTAAATGGCCAGCAAAAGCTCTGACGGCAGCCAAGTCCCACTGAAGTGGTAACTCCTCTGCTTCCCCTGCCAGGGCCATACCTGCTCCAGGCCAGAGATGTCATCAGGCAACAGCACCAACATGCTCAGCTCCCCGCTGGCGTACGGAAGCTCCAGGATCTTCATGTTCTCTGCAGCCACCGCGGCCACTTTGAAGGTACCGTTCTGACACATCATTTGCACAGGTCTGCTTTCTTGCTGCAAAAACAGAAACGTGAGACGACGTGACCGGGGAGCAATTTTTTCTTTAGGCAGGCAAATGTACAAGCCCTTTGAAAGGGACAGGTCTCGATCTTCAAGCATGTTGCCTTTGAAGAAGAGCTGTGTCTCCATTTTCCTCTCTTGCCTGCTGGTGTGCTCTGGTCAGACACAGCTCTCGCAAACCTGACAGCGAGGGGCCCAGCTAAATCGCTCGACCTGTGACAGCAACAGGTTGTATGTGTAACAGCCAGCCTGCTGGCTGTGCAATCCAACAGCCTGGCTTCCTGACCAGAAGCTGTGCCTGTGCCCCCTACCTTTGTCACAGTGAAGGGCACTTCCCGAGTGTGATCTTCTTTAAATGCCGTCTTCCATATCCCTTTGAAGTAAATGGCATTAACAAGGACCAGCACAGTATCGAGATCAACAGAGCCTGTTTCAAGGAAATCTTGGATATGTCCTTTAAGGAAGAAGCAGAGAGTGGTAAGTTTCATAGGAGTAGTCTTGCATTTTAGGGGTCAATCGACATGCTGCTGCTTGACTTGACTTCCTCTTCTTCAAAGGTCTGCATGTGGAATTTAGGTTCATAAGGATGATTTAATACAGAACGACTGGCACCTGGCCAGACATTTCTGCTAGAACAATTCTCCAAGTAGGTTCAAGGGTAGTATACACCCCCAGGAATATTTCTAACCAGTGCTTGGAAAAAGATTTATATAGAAAAGAAGGAACAGGAGAGGAAAGCAGCGACATAGATTTTCTGTTTCTGACTGTGCTTCTTTCTCACACTTCACTCGTGTTTTGCCTCCCACCTCAGCACGATAAATGTACACAAGCTCCTGAACCGTTCCTTTCCCACCATCAGCCTAGTGCGTGCATTACTTTCTCCCCTGGAAGCCCACTTCTTACTCATCTAGCACGTCCTTGTAAAATTACGCCAATATTCTAGAGAAGCTGGGACTAACCTTGCATGAGTTAAGCTCTCCAGACACAAAAAGTCTGCATATAAAGTGTGCATATAAAGTGTGCATATCCTGGCACATCCGCCTTTGCCAGATATGTTTAAAACACACTGCCACTGCCACACAGGTGCAGTACAGTCATCCCTTTCCACAGGAAATATCCACTAATGGGAACAGGAGGCAGAAATTTCTCCTCTAATGTTGAGTCTTTCCAGAAGTTGTTCAAATACAGTTGCGAGAGTGAAGTATATTTCCAAATCTTGTCTGACCTTACCGTTTGTCTGATTTTCCACCCAGGAATTAATGAGCTGTCTGGCTTGATCTGATGCTGTTTTGAAGTTGACCGTTTCCAGACCTGCTCTGTACAGTTTCTTCACACATTTTAAGTAGATCTGTAAAGACAGCAATTGTAGCCACCAAACTAGTCATTTCTTAAAAACAGTATGAAGGTGAAATAAAATATGGCTAAAAGGATTTTTATAGTGATGCCATGGTTAGGCTGTTCTCATTGCTTACTTCCTGGAAGAACCTGCTAAAACTGGGCCAGAAAAATTATCCTGATCCATGACATTTTCAGATCTGACATTTTTATTACTTGACCAGTTAAGAGTATATATTAGAAATGTTTAAATATTTTCTTGAAGAAAGCCTGATCCAAAGACACTGTTTCAGGTTCTTTTCAGAGTGTTTCATTATCATTACGTCTGCTCCTTTTTTTTTAAAGCATTTTTCCTTATTTTTAAAGATAAGAAGTTTCTTTGATTTAGAATATTTGTATGTTTTGTTTTGAAAATGTCAAATGAAAGATTTTGGCACTTTCAAAAGTTGTTTTTGAGGTGAGGTTTTCAAGTGAAAAAATGTGCCGAAGTCAAATTATATCCTGAAAAAAAACAAGCAACCTATTAAAATGAAAAGGCTTTGGGGGAGCAAGCAGGGAATTACATTACCAAATAGTTTTGTTTATTACTCCATTCAGTTTTGAATAGGGCCATCTTTTTGCCTGGAATTGCTTTCCATTCAGGCTGTTGTCACGGCTGTGGCAAAAGGAAAAGCCATGGAAGTCCACACCAGTGGGGACCACTGGATTAACAGATCACCCACTCTGGGCAGTCCTCCTGGATTACAGGTTTACACAGGGTTTAGCAAGAAATCACTCTAATGTGCAACTCACCGGTAGGATTGGACATGTTTTTTCAGCATAGAGTCTGTTGGCAATGTGGAGTGAATAATTGGCTTCTGGTGCAGTGATATCAGAGAGAAGTTCTTTAAACAGTATGTGGATATTCACAGACTTGCCACACTGAGTTGTTGATAAGAAGATAAAAAGGTATAGCTGTTAGCTTACTTTACTAGGAAGATAATTATTTAGAAGGTACAAATAACATGGGAAAACACACAGTGTTTGGACATTTGCAAATGAACATGTACTACAGTCTAAAAGCTCCATGGGAGGGATGTTCAATATAAACAACTAGTGATGTACAATTAATTCATAGCATATGATGATACTCATTCTAGGTGATAACAAGCAGAAAACTTCAGTGACAAATCTGAAACCGTATGGCTCAGGAGTGAGGTGACAAAAAGAAAAATTCAGGTGTCAATGATTGCAATTGGTGAGTTGTCATAGATATAGGGCCTCTAATTCCCACCTTCTGCTTGCATTTTCATGGCAGCTTTCTGCTGAAGCTGCAGATAGGACAAGAGTGCTAGATGACAAGGGAGTCAGGAAGTGCCTCATAATATAGTGAAAAAATGGATCAACTGCCTAATGCCCCAAAAATAGTGTTCCAGGTGACACAGACTAAGAGCATGTAAGAAAAATGCACAGTGCTAAACAGTGGCTGGGACTTCATTTTATGAGAAGGAGAATTGTGTTAAACTGCTCCTTTCTAAATGCTTAACCAGCCACTAAATGCTCTGGCTGATATTACCTTTATTTTAAAAAAAGTCGTCTTGTTCTTTGCAAGTCCTACCTTGTGCTTGTGGATCCCAAGTGGATGGGGACAGGCCAGGGAGCATGGCTTGTGTTATCTTTACAGAGGCAGCAGATTAACATGGAGGAAAGCACACAGATAGTATCAAGATACTAGGACCCCTCATGGTGCTCTTGGGGTAGCAGTGGGAATTGGAGGCTGGAAAAGTCCCTGTAGCTTTTGGGAGAGTGTGGTTATTTTCCAGTCTTTGAGGCTTCTGGCCTCTTTTCTGTCAAAGCGTCTTCCTGCCCCACTTTGGAGTCTCAGCTGCAAGTCTGGCTGCTGTACCCTGGCTCCAGGTGCTGAGCCCCTTTCAAGTGCTGTCCCTCAGCAGCACTTGCAGGTGTGCAGACGCTCATCTACACAAGAAGGTAGCCTGGTGCCCAAAGCATCCTATCCTGTCACTTGTTCTGGTGCAACATATGCAGCCTGTCTTCTTTTTCTGTTGTGGTTTTTTTTTTTTTTAACTTACATATCTGAAATTAAGAGCATTAGCAAAGGCTTGGGAAGGTGTTGAACCTACTTGAAGCACAGTCAGAACAGTCTATTCTCAGGAGAAAAAAGTGAAAGAGGAATAAATGTACCTTAGATTTCTGTACCTTGGTCTGAATAGCTCCTCCGAGTCCTGCAATTTTGTCAAAGTGAAGAACCTGCAATTGCAAGTAGCAATAGAAGTAATTAATTGTGTTGAAACTATAGGTTTGGACTAACCAGGTCTGATTAGCACATAGGTGAACTGAAAAGTTTCATGTAAGCTTTAAATTTTTTTTTTTTAAATCACTGAACGTTTGTGACTAAGATCCTCAGCTTAGATCCCTTCTTTTCCAGTTAATGGTATTCAGCCTATAAACCAGCTACAACCTTACGGTATTGCATTTATAACTGTGACTCTTGTTTTCTGAATGTTTCATCTTTTGTTTATTACAAGTTGTCCTTTCCACCTGGAAGGAATCAGGTCTGTGAGACAATATAAGCTGAAGCAAGAGACCTACCTTAACCATTCTTCAAGACTGCTTTTTCTTAATGGAAGCCAAAGGCCGTTCTTGCCCTTCATGGTGAAAAGCAATGGTAAGTGAAAACTCAGCTCCAGATCCAAACCTCACAGCTTGGAATGCCGTTCTTTTTCTAAGCAGGTTCGAATTCAGTGCCAAATGTGACTGTGTGACTTTCTCCCCTCAACAGGAGAAAGTCCCAAAGATGTAAATGGATTATCCGTTGCTGTGTTGAACGGGATCAAAAGGAGTTTGTATCCATTTATGTAACTTACCTTCTCCATCTGATACTCAGTATTACCTCTTGCTCCCAGATAAACCATGGCCAAGGCTGCAATGATGCTCAGGGGGGAATAGAAGATGTTGTCGTTGGCATGGTGGACTTTCAGCTCTTTGAACACATCAAAAGAAAATTCTGCATTTGCTGCAGTGATGGAGCCCATTGTGAAATCAATGTTGTCTGAAGCAAACAGAAATATGACTGTATAGTAGTGATACATAGCACTTGTTTTAAAAAGTACTGTCAATAGCCCAGAAACTGCTGGTTTTGTGATGCTGAACCAATGAATGATGTGAAGCCTACAGATTCTGTGATCATTAGAAATATTGTAACTCCTGACACATTTGTCTCTGAATGCATGTTTGTTTTCCTTCAGCAAGATATTAGCTCATCATCAAGATAGTATTTTCTACTTTTAGGAAATAGATAGTTTCATCCATGCTTCAATATGGTAAATATAAAATCGAATGGTTTCCCTATGGCCATCCAGAGGACTCTGAATGATGTTTGAGACAGTGCAAACTTCATATTTCATTTCTTCTGTGGCTGCTCTGGACCATGCTCTGGATCTTTAAATCAAATGTAGTCAACTCACTATGCTCTTAGTGTACTTCTTACTGTTGCTTAGTACAACCAGCCACAAATTTGGAGGTTGCTTTCCTGTAGTTTATAGGAATAACGGAGGTAAGTTGCTCTGTAAACCCAGCCAGTTGCTTAGATGCTGAACTATAGATTTAGGGCTGTTCTTTCCCGTAGTCCCATTTTGGACAATTAATCTCTGCTGATGCTTTTTTGTTGAGAAAAAGCACAAGCATATATATCATAAATACGGGGTTTGGCAGTACAGCTTGAAACAGTGTAGAGCTGCATTCGTTCAGTCAGGTGCAAATCCTGTACATGCAAATTAATGTGAGATGTTAAGGCTATTCACTGAAACCTGCAGTCATTCACTCTTTTGAATCTGAGACCAATAAATTTGCATACTGTTCTTGTATCTCTAAAACAGTTAAAGTTTGAGGAATAGCAGCATATCCATAGTTTGGAGCAGATGTGGTTGATTATGTGACCTGAGAAGCATCTGGCGCTAATGACTGTGGAACCACAGACTCTGTGAATCGTCATACTGTACCTCACCTGTGTTCTCCAGAGAGTGAGACTGAGAAAAGAGAAATGCCTTTATTCCCAAAATAATTATTAAAATTATAAAAGAACAACTTTGATGTGACACCAGGTTTTCAATGGAAAAGAGGTATTTCTACTCAAAGCTATGGTGTACAAACACTCATATTTTGCACACCTAAAAGTATTTGACAGTCAAACAGTATAAGATATGTTGATAAGGCAAGGTAAAATCACTGTATATGCTGTCTTTTTACATATCTGGCTTATACTTACCTTAAAGTTCTTAAACATAATATCACTTTTTTTTCCATATTAAAGAATACAAATTAGAAATTATATTTTACTTGGAGAAATACTTACCCCACAAACTTCAAAGAGGCACGTAACAATCCAGCTTGCCAGCTGAACCTAAACAGTTTGTCTGAACTCTTGTTGATATATATTGTACTATTTGAGACACTCCCACTGTTAGCCTTCAAGGAGTCATCTTTTGAGTCACTACCTTTCGTCATGACCTTTTGATTCATTGCACTTTGAAACATTGAGTAGACCAATGTTAGACTGGTACTCTATCTGCAGCAAGTCAACCTTTATTTATGGAAGTAAAACCTAATTAAAAAAATGAATTATTTAAGCTTTTGCTGTAACTTATAAGGCTGTACCAAAGCAATTGGAGTTCAAGTCTAAAACTATGTTTCATGCAGTTCTTTTGAATTTCCACATTAATGTGATTGGGCCATATTAGGTAACTAGAGCCAAATGAAAAACAAATGCAAAAAACTGAGAAAAAGCAGTGTTACAAACATATCCAGCGAAACATAACACATTTTTAATAAACCTAGTTGTAACATCAGATCAGGTGATTCTTATGGTGAAGCGACGCTAGAGATCCCAAAATATTACAGGAAAATAAGGCCCAGTCATAGTGCAGTGATCTGGGAGTGAGCAAACAGTTCCCAGCACAGCCCATCGTTAGTGAGCATCCACGGACATAGCTTAGGAAAGAGTCTTGTATTGCCAGGGAGTGCAAAAAAGTGCATCAGTCCCTGAAAACCTACCTGTTTCTCTTCTTCTCACCTATGAGGCACTGTAAGTACAGAAGGCACTGTAACACAGTACTCCCACCAAGCGTGAAGGGAAAAGTGGATACTGGGCTAACCGCTGAAGGTCTGATATATACGCAACAACTCACTACAGTGTCTGTGCAGTGGAACAGAGGGAAGTTCCTCATGGACAGTGACCATCTGATGTTGCCAAAATAATGCAATTCCAAGCAGAGCTAGCTGTGGGATGGTCATTCTGTTCAGAGGTCTTTGAAATGGATTTTTTCCATGTAAGAGCAAACCCAAAACTTTCTGTTTATTTTTCAAGACCAAAATAGTGCTGAAAGGTGTTTTGGTCTGCCAAAATGCAGAAGTATGTTCCTGGAGTCCAAGGATTAGTACAAACTATAGTCCAAGGATTATAGTTTGTACTTGTTAAAAGCACAGCCACACCTATTTCTGTACCTAGGTGAGACCGAAGTTTTTTACCTGAGGTCAAACTATAGGGTCTGCAGCATACATGTGGAGGAGGGGAGAAGGGCTCTGAGGAGAAAGCACGTTTTGCTAAAACTTGATTTTGATTAAAACATTCAGAGCAGCAGCGTTGAGGTGAATTAGAGGGCTAAGGGTGGGCATGGCAGAGGAAGAGATTTGAGGAACAGTCAGGAATTACATATTTGCTGGGCTGTAAGTCAGACCCCAGAGTATTCAGATATTCAGAAATGGATTTTAACCAGCCAGTAGGATTTAAAGGATGATTGAGAGTCAGCTTTTAATTTTCACTCTCCACAGGTCATGGCAACAAGGCCCGTGGTACATGCACAGGCCATTCTCATAGATCTTCCATACGTACCTTTTTACTATGACAGGTGAATAAACTACAGAATCTGTCTGCAGGAACATTCATGGTCTGTTAGACAATCATAATGCACAATATCAAATATAATTCAATTGTAAAAAGCTATTACTCTTTATTGAATAATAGACTTGATGAGCAGAAAAGAAACAAATCTGGCATCTGTAAAGGCCATAGGGGTGGATAATAGAAATCCCAAATTTGTACATATTAAGTCACAGAGCATACAGCAGTAGGTGCACATTCTGTGAAAGGGAAAGGGGGCTACTTTACCCCGAACAGTGTGTTTTGTTTTGCTGAAATGCAGGCATGTATGTGCAGAGCCTGATGATTGGGGTGGTTTTCAGTTTCCCAACGCAGAATGAGCTTTTTGTCTGAGGATGTTATAGCAGTGATGAGGGTGGGGAAATCTAAAGACAGTAAGCAGCTTTCCTCTCACCTTGTTCAATGTTCCTTATTCTGTGAGCTGGACTGCTGTAGCTTTTACTTTATCCTATCAAACCGTTACTGCCTGAGGGCACAGGTTTTGTGTGGAAAGAATCATAGAATCATAGAATCATTAAGGTTGGAAGAGACCTTTAAGATCATCAAGTCCAACCGTCAACCCAACACCACCATGCCCACTAAATCATGTCCCTAAGCACCTCATCTACACGTCTTTTAAATACCTCCAGGGATGGGGACTCAACCACTTCCCTGGGCAGCCT